GCTTCATCCCATTGTTCGCCCGAAAAACACCAGCGAACAAAGTGAGACAACACAACACCCACCCAGATCAGCAACAGCCGTGAAAACCCCAAAAACGCCAAAGCACTTCGACGTCAAAGCGAGAAAGACATAAAATTTTTAGGGCGGAATTCTCACGTGGGTTCGTCGTGCATCTTTCCCGCTACGTCCGCTACGTCCGCTCCGCATCATCGCAATTTACTTACTCGGCGCCCAACCCAACCCGACTGCCCCTCTTCATCTTCCTCCCTCGTGGCGCCGACTCGACGCAACTGAACCCTCCAAAAACATCACTTTCGCTGGAGAGTGATCAGAAATCGAGAGCAGCGGCCAAGTTGGCGGTGACGGCGAAGGCGACGGCGACGACAAACACATCACAGGACGACTCGTAGCGTGCTGACAACTCAGCAAACCCGTCGCTATGGATCCCCGCTACTCTTCTTCGCGCTACACCGGCACTCGCCCACGATCGCCTACCTATAATCCGGCGAGAGCGTCGATGCCCACCAGCATCGGTTATAGCTCCATGTACGGAGGCGACATTCACGTCATGCCTACCTCTACGAGGTACACCCCGACGACCTCTTCTTCCTCAAGAGGCCATCACCATTCTCACTCCACCACTACTCCGACAACCACCACCACGTACGCTGTCACCAAGGATCCTCTGGCCCGCGGTCCCAGCCTGAGAGATGTGAGCCGCAACCGGGCAGGCCGTTCTACAACTCTTGACTCCAGCGCTCCCCGCCCTGTCATCGTCACTACTACGACAAGGACACCTCAGCAGGCAAGCTCTTCTTCGCATCACTCTTCGAGCAACAGACACTCCAGCCCGACCCGCGACGATTACCGCTCCAGCGACAGCACCTTTTACACCCAGCCGGCGTCTTCTATACGTTCCCGAAGCCACCATCGCGGTGGCTCTTACAGCGCAACAATGGATAACGAAGAGTTCACTCGCCTTCGCGAACGAACTGTCGACGGTCGGCTTGATGCTTACCGCCCAACAAGATCGTCCACCCTATATGCGAACAGCTCTCGTCACGGCAATGCTCCCATTGATTACGGAGCCACTGATGGCTACGAATACACCGCCCCTGGCGACCTTGCTCGCTACGACTTGGACCACTCTCGTCCCCCCTCCAGATCTCGCAGACGAGAGAGCATTGACCGTGGTTACTACCGCCCCAGTGTCAACGTGACCACTACAGATCCTGTCAGTCGTCCGTACAACGACACTGGCCGTCGCGGCGGCCCTCCGCCAACGACTTGGGGACTCGACAAGATCAATAAATCAACCACCAACGTGTATGACTCAGGTCAAGGCTCGATCCCGCCCATTGTTCCGGCCGCTCCTGTTCACATGCAGGTTCCTCCAAGCCCTAGAGATCGACGTTCCGCCGGTATCCCTTCGTCTTTGGATGTGGCCGCACCGTCCGTCGCAGCCGCAACAGTAGCCGGTCCCACTTCATCTCGCCGCCCTGTGTCTGTGTACAATGAGGGAACAGCTCCGCGCTCCACTCACCACGAGGATTATTACCGCAGCCGTGAGGATGATCGTGTGCAGCGACAAGCAAGAGAGGAGCGCCCTTATGACGCTACTTACGGTAGTGGCGACTACTTCCATGATGATGCCGTGTCCACGCGCGGCTTTGGCATTCGCACGGATTCGGCTCCACTTGGAGGCGATTTTGATGACCCACGGAACCCACGTAGAGAGGTCCGTCCCGAGTCTCGAAATGGGTACCGTCCCGAATCCCGCACCGGGTACCGCCCGGAGTCTAGAACCGGTCATCGGACTTCACCCCCGGACACAAAGAGAGGCTCTGATGATGAATCAAGGAAGAAGCGTGACTCCGCACGACTCGAGCCTGAAAGAGAAAGACACAGCCGACGGATCAGCACCGCCAACGATGATGAATCCGAGCGAACCAGGTTTCGGGACAAAGTAAGCGCTGGTCTCGGACTGGCTGCTACAGCAATCGGCCTTGGGCAGGCTGTGAAGGAAAAAGATGAGAAGCCCGAGAGATCCGATAAGCCTGAGAAGGAATCCCGAGAGCCACGGCGTCGCAACGATGAAGACGAGTCAGGAACGCGCACCGCCGATAGGTACAAGCCTAGAGATGAGTCTCGCGATCCAAGGGACCGCGCACCTGTGATCGTTGAGACCCGCAGAGCACCCGCTGACTCGGAGGCGGATACTCGTGAGCGTGACCGCGGCGAGCGGGAAAGGGAAAGGGAGCGGGATCGGGACCGGGACCGTCGGGATGCTGAGGCTCGACTTACTGGCGACAGCGTTCCGTCTTCCCAGCGCGACGGTTCTCCTGACGACGACAATAAGAAGTCGAAGCGGCCTGCTCAAAAGGCCATTGGATTCAACCCCACAAACACTAACGACATCCGGGAGTTGAAGGAGCAACTAGCAGCAATGAGGGACGAGAAGCCTAGGGAGAGAGAGAAGGTTCCCATTGCTGCTGAAAGGTCTGACCGCTCGGAACGTCCAGAGCGCTCTGAGAGATACGATGAGCGATATGACAGATCGGAGCGGTCAGAGAGGTCTGAACGGTTGCCGCGAGACGACCGATCGGATCAACAAACTTACGCTGATCTTCCCCTGAGAGACACGAAAGAGCGCACGCCTTCGCCCAGGAAAGAGTCACCGCCCAAGAGGGAATCACCTGTAACGGTGCCATCAACTGAGTCGACGAGAGATGAGTCTCGGGGCCGTGAGGTTACACCGCCTCACGGAGATGAGAAGCAGGTTCGTGTTGTTTCTCCGCCTCGCGACAAATCGGACTCGAAGCCACTCAAGGGTATCCTCAAGGCACCTAGCAAGTTCCCCGAGGAAGACAACCCGATTCGTGAGGGTGTCGCCCCTCACAAGGATGACAAGAAACTGAAGGAGGTCCCTCCGGGCGCCCGTTGGACCAAGATCAGCCGGAAGATTGTCAATCCGGAAGCCTTGACCGTCGGAAAGGAACGGTTTGAAGTTCGCGACGACTTCGTCATCGTCCTCAGAGTCCTCAGCAAGGAGGAAATTCAGGCATACGCCGCTGCCACTCAAGTCCTGAGAGGTATGTTAAAAACCCAAGTCCTTCTTCCACAATTGAATCTAACCAGTAGCACAGAGAGGAGGCGTGAGGAGGCAGGCAAAGACCGCGACCGCGACCACGATCGCGAGCGAGACCGTGAGCGCGATCGGGACCATGACCGGGGACGCGACAGAGATGAGGATGATGATAGGCGAAGACACTACCGCCACCACAGGAGAGATGACGGGGATGACGATCGATATGACGAGGAGCGCGATCGTGAACGCCACCGCAGACATCGTCGAGACGACGACGACGACGACTATCACCACCGCCGTCACCATAGGGATCGCGACCGCGACCAGGCGGCTGTCGAGGGATAAGGGTCAAAGGAACGCATGTATTGATGAATGAGCTATACGGGCGCCGAGATTTTGAATTTTCTAGCGAGAAGAAGCATTGGATGAGGGGCTCCACAAGCGAGAAAGCGTTTCTTTCATATTTTACACTTTCAGGCGGAAAGATTCAATATTTATATGGGCATGGCAAAGGAAAAATCTAGCGGCTATTGAGGCAATAAATCTACAAAAAACTTCTTCGACATATGAAAGGACCCTCGTCGATAGCTGTCGCAGTGGACCCCACATAAATTGGTCCCGTGGACCGTTTGGAGCGAACTGGTCTCACCTTCGGGCGAACGCCACGACGTATTAGCTCACTCTAGATGCTTGGGCAACAGATGTCATTCGTCTTTGGCTTTCGTGTCCGCCGGCGCAGCATTACGTGAGTCTCTTCTGCGACCCTGCCTCGGCTCCCACTTGTCAATGAAACACCCTCTTTCAGAATGCCCTTCTCAATATCCACAGAACTGTCAAGGTGATGATGCATGGCCCTCAACGGTGACCTTGATTATTATTTGCTATTAGCAAAACTCTTTTCCTTGACAGAAACTTTGCCTCCCACCCACCCGGAGCAGTGTTACCCTTGTATTGGAAAAGTCTGTGGTTGGTAGGCGGGATGGGATATAAGGTTTTTGAAACTATCCATTCTCAACGCAGTCCGCATCCACATGAACGCCAGGTGGGTGACCAGAGAGCTTCCTTGATATACGGATTCAATCTCAGTCCCAAGCACATACGACCATACCCATTGGAAAACTCGGGATCCCGTCCGCTCTCCCATAGATAAGCCAATGAGGGCTGGAGTAGTAGTCGGGTCGGTGACGACCGGCGAATGCCCGGTGTTGTATGTGCTTTTTTTGCACCTTCCTTGTTCGAGGGTTGTTGTTCGTTTTGTTCAACCATCTCTCGTTCCGAGGACAGACAGTTGCACCTGGGACATATTTGTGGCATGTTATGTATGCTGAGGCGTTTTTCCTTGTGCACCTTGGTAATGATCGTCCAGACGTATGTCGCCGCAAACTTTGAGCACAGCTAGAAAGTTGCTCTGTGGCTGTTGTTACGAGCAATATATTAGCAATATGCTGATCAGTCTGAGTTTGCTGTGCAGAGCCCAATACGAGAAGCCTCGAAGCCACTGCGAGAATCAAACTATTCTCGAAGGGCCGGTTTTTCACGTCTAGCTACTCAAATGGATCATTGAACGACCTCTCTACCTCTTTAGCCCAGCCACATCCATTTGTGCGGGTGCCTCACGAAGGCTGTTGAAAAAGTCTGTTACCATTACTGATGAAGACGCCTACATCGAACGTTGGACGACTCCAGCGCCTGGCAGTGGCTGCTCATCGTCGCCATCAGGGTCTACCATGATCTGTTGAGGCGTTCTCAACGCGCCATGAGGGTTGGAAGCCTCCTTGACTGTATCAGCGTAAGCGGATTTATATCTGAACACGACGTGACGCCTGATGTTTCCCCTTTTTCTTTGTCCTCATCTCTCATCATCGTGCCCTCCTTTCCCGTCTTGTTTGCGGAAACTCACCGATCTCACACCATGAAGTGCTTCATCATCACAGGCGCCATCTTGTTGGCGCCCTTGGCGATGGCCAAGCCGGTTAACCTTCAATCAGCCCGGCCCAGTCTCATCGGGCTTGCGGCGGCGGCCGCCGGCAAGAACATCACGTCGGATGGCCCGAACTTCGAAGACAACGTTCAAGGACCTGAGCGACCTGAGCAGGACGTGCACCAGTGCATCGTAGACTGCTGGGTCAAGAAAATAGGGGATGCGAACAAGATAGGGGATGCGGACACAATGAAATGCACGTGGGATTGCATGCACCGCCCCAAGGACACCGTCAATGTTCCGTCCACGAGCACTTCGCCGTCCACGAGCACTCCGCCTTCCACGAGCACTCCGCCTTCCACGAGCACTCCGCCTTCCACGAGCACTCCGCCTTCCACGAGCACTCCGCCTTCCACGAGCACTCCGCCTTCCACGAGCACTCCGCCTTCCACGAGTCCTCTTGTTCCCACCGGGTCGAGGACGTGCTCGAGCACTATCAGCTCGACTGCTGCTCCCACCTCGACTACTACTAGTACTCCCGACGAGGCTACCACGGCCATGATCACGGTCACCAATACCGCGACGGTCACAGAAACAATCTATATGCCAGACGACGCTACTACCACTGGAACCTCTGAGCCAACTTTGGCTCCCACTGGTACGCCCGACGCGACTACTACTGCAACTTCCGATTCAACACCCGCTCCTACTCCTATCGATACATCTGCGGAGACAACTACTACCGCTGTAATTACCAGCGCTCCTGATAGCACTGATACTGGAACTTCCTGTGCTTCGATGAGCTGTGATCCTACGACCACCGTCACCGTCGCCACAACGATCACAGCCTCGCCCTCGCCTTTGGCTTCGACTTCAACCTCGGTCGATGGCCCCGTCTCTACCCCGGAAGCGTCTTCAACGTCGACCGTAACATCGACATCAACCGACGCTTCTATCTCTATCCCGGAAGCATCGTCAACGTCGACCTCAACATCTACTGCTTCTGTCTCTACCCCAGGATCGCCATCATCCAGCACTTATTCGTCCGGTTTCATCACTACCACCGCCGCCCCCGAAGAAGTTACGGTCACGGCAACCAACAGTGTCACCGTCGCCCCAGCAGAAGTCACAGTCACCGAAACCAACACTGTCACCCAGTCACAGCCGCACTATCTCCTTAACCCTTTCCGCCCGTTCGACCCAAACCCTACCATGGCATAAGTATGATCAAGAGTATCAAATGGTATGCGGAGGCTAAAGTCGGTATAGACATGGTAACATGTTTGGTGGAGTGAAGAGTCGCGGCATGTTTTTGTTCAGTCCCAAAACCTAAAGCTCATTGATAAAAGGGGCAGATTTTGTAGTCTGAGGAAATTACGTAGATCCAGGTCCTCTGTTTGTGCGAATCAAAAGACATTGTTCGAATACAGATAGCAGTCTGGTGACATGAAGACAAGATGATTACTGGCCGAATGAATATGTTCTGTCTTTGTCACGACTGTCGATAGCATCTACAGCCCTCGACAGTTTATAATAATGCACACCAAGTCCGAACAGGATTGATTGTTCAATAGCTTTCAGCGCTACAACCCTTCATGCATTGCATTTGAATTGCCTTTACAAGCTTCGTTGCAGTAACGCTAGGAAGTATCTTCAAGCAGTCTCCTGGCAACTCTCGTCTCGGCTCATGGTTTCCTTATGAGATGTTTAGCATCTTCATTCTTGTCGTGGCATCATATCGGTGTTCCATTTGCCTGAAAGTGAAGCTAGAGGGCTATAGGAGTATGCATACATACGTCTGGAAATTAGACATGGGGATTTTCGAGGTTTCTCGACAAGTTTTGTGTCAATTTGCAGCGGTGTAAAGAGTTCACTCACTTGTTGACCTGCTCAATGATAACGACCGAGCTCCATTATGACATTGTCAATAAATGTCGGATGGACAGAGCCTGCCCGGCATCTTCATTTCGTTTCTTATGATCGCAATCAGAATAGCCTCGTCGTATATTGGACCACCGAGACGTATCTCATCTTGACAGCTATGTTCTACATGGCCCCCGTTGATGGCACAGAAGTCGAGGCTTTTGGATATCGCGTTGAGCCGGCAATCATTTCCCCTGAATTCGTCTTTGAGACCCGATAATACCAGGTGAACACGACACTGATATCTGAAATGGCGTCGCCAGGAGACATGACAACGCCTGCAGTATTCTGGTCTTTAGTATCTTCCAACATAAGACCGTTTCTTGCAGGTCATTGATAGTTGTAGCTGGTCTATGTACAAAACGACGTACTCGTAACAGCCCCGGTCAGGGCAGCACTCATGTACTTCACATAAACCACGGCGAAGAAGAGGGACATCACGGACTGAGCGACCCTCTTTCCGTATACTTCAGAATTCTTCCGAAGTTGGAATCTCATAAGCGTGCTCTTGTGACTCTTCTTGCAACGCTCATAGTTAAACTGTCCATCTTATCAGTTGACGGCACGGTACCAGATTCGACAGCTCAACTTCACTGGCAGCTAGTCAACCTCAACCCGGGCAACTTGTAGTTGTCTAGCAATGTCATCAAGGTGACCTGCAACCGACAACTGTCATTCTTGAGTCTCCCGGATTCAATGAACCAAGGCCAACTTGCTCCTACCTCTGCGTGGGCATCCCAGATACCCGGTCACAACGCTCGACGCGTCCGCCGTCTCCCAGACGCGTCGCTCCACAGCCGCGCTCCCATGTCGTCGAAACCCGGCGGCCCCAGGACCCCTTTTTTCTGCCCACTTCCTCCCTCTCAACTCACTGACTCTGTTCGACTCTCTCGTCGACAAGGTTTCTCCCCGTCATTTCGAGGTCACATCGACATCAGAAATGCGAACCCGCTCGACGTCTCATTGTTCCACGCAAAGGGTATTCTGCCCACCGGCTGCCTGGGGGGTTTCAATATCGTCGCTCTGGTAGACCGCGGCAAGGCATACCCACTCCTGATGAACCCGTCACCCAGAGTTGGGGTCGGCATCTCCAAAAAAGCAGCATCCTTGGCACCACGAACCCAGCAGCAAGTTGATGAAAAAGGAACCCTCCCTCAGCAGCGGCCAGGAACGCGGTCTATCAAAACGTAACCCCCACGTGGAGAAGGACAAGGCCAGGTTCGCAGGCCGAAGAAAAAAGAGGGCAAGACAGAGAACAAGAAGATGCAACGATGCTGTCCTCAATCCCAGGCCTGGTCCGGCATGGATATCCATGCCAAGGCCCCCTCGCACCTCATCCCCGGTGCCCGCATGCCTAAATATAGTGGAATGATGCTTGTCACCAATACCACTGCATCATGCAGGGGAAGCTCGGTGGTGTTTTCAGGACTGTCACCTCATTTCTTCACCATCTAAACCTTTTTGGGCAACAGCGCTCGCCGGACGCGTCGAGGGCCCCCCGACGGCGGAGTACGGCGAGCTTGAGTGGACAATGGCCCTGGGAATTCCCACCGACCCGGAATTACCAGGGCCCTTGACCAGCAGAGACGCGCGAAGATATCGCGGCGCGTCTCTCTGTCAGGCTTGGGCAAGCTGAAGCTCGCCGCGACTTTGAGATGCCTTCATCACAGCCATATCGAGGTACATGAATCAACGGATTGTTTAGAGCAGCGCAAGAGACTTGACTAAATATGTTGGGGCTCTTCCAATTCCTCAGAACCAGGGCCATGCTCTCATAGTCTTTGAAATTGGACGGCGATCTGGGAAGATTGGCGGAAATACCAAAACCCTTCCTACCAAACGAGTCGGGTACTCTCAAAGGATACCGTTTAGAACCCCAAGCGAGTTACTTTGTAACCAACCGCTTTCACGTTATCAGCCGATATTTGCATGAGTGCTTCAGAGCTCGTCGTTGGAGACATCCCCACCAAGAGGTCCATTCATCTCCATCGGGACTGAGGATCGAGTGTCTGCTCCGAGAGATTGCCTTGGCGATGACTCTGTGTTCTTCCAATCTGCGCTCACAAAGCCCAGGAGCAATATGCGTCGAGCTGCGCCTCCGACCAGCGTCCAAGTAGGTTGCCGGACCATCACCGAAACTTGATTTTGGCCGCGAAGAGGAAGTAGAGCCGGAACCAAGGTCCGTGACAGACCTGCACTCAAATGCCTTCTGTCATGACTGCCTGGCCGATGGCCAGTTACTTACTGCTTGTTTGTGCACCTTTCCCCCGATATTGACAATATCCAGACTGTGGCATTGAATCACCGATGATTGGGGGCAATATATGGTCAACCAGCAAGTGAACTGTCCGCTCACGTCTTGACAATGCTCCCGGATGGCGATCACTTGGGAGTTTCGCAATCTGGGCTGGCTAGATTGAAGGCGGGCAGCCTCTGTCATTCCGCGATCAATAGTGCCAGTTCATTAAGTTCAGTAACACGTCTCCTTGCAGCACCAACATTGACTACTATGCATTTCGGTGCTGTTGTTCACAACATGGCTGGCAACGCCAACTCGTCCAGAGTGGGCTTCGTCTGCCCAATAACATGAAGTGACGGGCGAATGCCACTTGGTGCCGTCCCTTTTCAGCGCCGCTCACGTATGTATAAATCACCCGAGAATGTCAAAACAGACCGCCGATCACAGAGCCTAGAACACGGCGGCATGGCCTCGTTCGCAGCGTTTGCGAACATGAGCGATGTCTCGGTCAATGTGTTTAACTAGACAAAGGATACCGAGACCCTATCAAACCTCCCTGACCGCCACGGTGTTGCAGCGGTGAGCTGTCGTCGACTGGGCGGTGAGAGTGCATACACCCAACGGCAGCTGCAAACGTGATGAGTGAACGTGTCAGTCTACCAAAGACATCAACTGCATGCTTGCCATGCGGACAGTAACAGGCTGTCTCGCTCCCCGTCAAGAATTTATGCACATGGCGTGGCGGCGAGACCAAATCCCGTGACGAACGGTTCTTCCCCACTTGTTGGAATCCAGCTCATCGTCCCCACAAACGGCTTCAATGTCTTGGAGGAAGTTGGTGATGTCTTGGATGATACTTTCCGCCCAGCAGCGCTCAACCAATACAAAACGGCGCATCGTAGAAACACAAAGACACATGGCTGTTCATGGCCCGTCAAATCGTAAAGTGAATCCAAATGCCTATCAAGATGTTGAGCTACCCGCAGCTGTCCTCCTCAGCGCGAGTTACTCGGGATGATAGAGGAAGTTGAAAACAACACACGATTGGGCTTCACTGACTCTGATACTCATTTTCACAAAAGCCCAATCCAATGACAATCGCTTTTTTTGCGAACTTGTTATCTTCTTCTGGGTGGACGCTTCGTCGGTTGACATTCCAATGTTCGTCCCTGTCACTCGGATGCGAGTGATACTCGCCAGTCCTCAGCTTCTAAGCGTGAGGTATTGATCTTTCGATAGCAGTCTCATCCGACGGCCAAAGCGTCAATCCCGATGCCAACCGATCCTACAAAAACGGCGAATACGCAAGGCCATGCACCGAGTGAATGATCGTCGTTCCTAGAAGTGACCGTTGCAGCGAATTGCTTCGGGTTGTGCCTGCCTGGGTGGAACTGCAATGCCTGTCAGTCGGTGTGCGGGATCTATCGCCCCAGCTTCGCGACTGACATCTTACGCAGTAGAAATCCAGCTGAGTACAACTGTCGGCCTGCCAGGCCTGACCTTGGCTGACAGACAAGGGCGCAACGCCATCAGTTTGTCCAGTGGATTCTGGAGAGATCTCTAACAGGGCTGGGTGTCAAGTCTGCCCGTACTCAACCTTGCAGCTATACGTACAACATGTCCCTCCCTAGGTGACGGCAGGCCCGTCTTCAGCCGCGCAGAGAGGCTGCGTAAGGCTGAAGCAAATCTTTCGACTGGGTTGACAGGATGCAAGATGCCACTGCGGACGATGGATAAATGGAGCGAAACAGGGGGGCAAAATAGAAGATGCGAGGCGTACAAGTGCATTTTCCTAGTTTTTTATAAGCATAAAGGGTGGGAGGATGGCTTCTGCAGGGCTTTGCGCTCGAGAGTCAGAGGTCGTATCCAAGCGGAATGTCCGTGAAGTGCATAAATCATATTCTGTAGTTCAGGTCGTCTCATTCAATCAGTGGCCAGGAAACCAAGAAACAGAGCCCCAGGGCTATTTACCGAGAGACGTCTGGTAACATGTATCTTCAAGCCGCTGATATCTGAAGAGCTTTAGATACACTGAGGAAATACCGTCAAATTCTTATTG